ACCCGTATTCAAGAAGGGAGACCACAAGGAATGCTCCAATTATAGGATCATTACGTTATTGCGTCTCCCAGGTAAGTCTACGCAAACGTGAGAGACAGGAGGTGCGGCGGAATAACTGACTCCAAGATTCTAGAAGAGCAGTGTGGCCTCCTGCCCGGTCGGAGATCCCCTGACCATATATTTGCCCTGCGTCAGATTGCTCTGAAATCGTGGGAGGACGCACGTCCAGTGTACGTGCTTTGTTGACCTAGAAAAAACCTGTGACCGGATCCCACGCAACAGTCTGTGGTCATGCCTTCCAGCATACGGAATAGATAGTCAGCTGATAAGGATATCCAATCACTGTATTCTGAGAGCAGGTGCTGCGTCAGAGTAAATGATGTTAAGTCAAAATCTTTGAACGTTGCCACTGGTCTCCGCCAAGGCTGCGTCCTGTCCCCTGTCTTGTTTGTTTTGGATAAAATAGTGAGGAGCAGCCAAAGTGATGAGTGCATCGGTGCAGAAGATATGAAGACAAGAAGGTTGCTATTTGCGGACGATCTTGTTTTATTGGCATCTTCGGAAACTGATCTACAGTGCTCCATAATCCGACTACTACGTGACCGGTATGGGCGTGAATGCATCTAAAACGAAAAGCGTAGTGCTTTCTAGTTCTCCTGCCCGTTGCTGTCTTCAGATTAAGAGTGAGGCAGAGGAGCAGGCGAAGAAGTTTAAGTACATTGGAGTCGTATAAACTCGAGATGGAAAATTTAAGGAAGAGATCGACCAGCGAATTGGAGTAGCCAGTGGCGTTCTGCGTGAACTCTCCCAATCCATTGTGACTAAAGCAGAGTTCAGTGTGAATACTAAGCTCTCGCTGTTCAAGTCGATCATAACAACTATGCTTACCAACGGTCATGAGTTGCGGACCATGACCGAAAAGCATCGAACCCGGGTACAAACCGCTGAAATGGGCTTTCTGAGACGACTTGCTGGCGGTACGCGTCTGAACTTAGTCCGCAATACAGACATTCGGGACAGCCTTGGTGTACAGCCTCTGCGTCTCCAGATTGAGAAGTTACAGCTGGGATGGTCTGGGCACGTGTTACAAATGCCTCCAGAAAGGAAGGTTAAGCAACTCCTTGCGAAACCGACTAGCAGAAGGCCGAGGGGACGGTCAAGTTTAACCGGGTGCAAATACATGGAAGCAGTCTGTTGCAGAATCCAGTTGTCTTCTGCCATAGCTCAGACTCTGACATGAGATCAGGAACGTTGGAAGCACTGTTTGACGCCTCTGCCTTGGTGACACGAAAGGAAATGCGGCAAAGGAAGATGGAAGATTATATGAAATTTGAAAAATGAATATAAAGATGACTAAAAACGAAACGGAATTAATATACCTACATTAAAATGAAAATATTTAGTTGGAATTTGAAACGAAGAAAGTTCTGGAGCTAATAAGTGTGAATCATGATTTAAACAAAATCTACAACTATCAAGGAATAGCCTGCAGTCGTTGTGTCACGTACACAGCGCGATACAGAAGACACGCATAGAAAGATCGCATGTCTCAATCATGTTTAGAAGTTTGCAGTTACCAAAGCTAAAATCTTATCAAAAGACAGTAAATCACGGCATAAAACCATATCTGTAGAGGCTCTAGCCAAAGCAATGCGAAACAAACGTAGTAGCTAGCAAACTGCAGCGACAAATGCCTAGGGAGTACTTCGGCAAAATATTAGTTCACAATCATGGCAAGAAAACTGTTCACTCACTTAATTCCAGTACGCGCAAACAGAGACAAAGAAAGATTGGCAAGCATCATCACTAATATAAGTATCCCTACTTATATAAGCAAAAAGTGTCCCGACATGAGTTGCCATTTACTGTTAAAAGAATGACCGCAAGATGGAAAAATTTTGCCTTTTTGTTTGGAATGATTTAGGACGGGGGAGGTAATCTTTCCATCCTGGCTTGTAATCATAATACTCTTCTTCCCTACAGATTTGCATAGACATTCATTTCGTTTCAAGGTTCATAGCAGGAGTTTTCAGCTAATAAAAAAACTCCTCACCGTATTTCGCCCTGACGTGAGATCCACTACCTTGATGGTTACTCCATTCTCTGCGACATTGAGGCTAAAATTGAATTTATGGAGAACATGACAAAGAGGTACTTGAAAATATGGCTTACTCCAAAATCAGATTTAACGGCAGAGTTAGGCCGTCAAACCAAATCACGATTAGTCTCATCAGTAGCAACAATTCACTGTTCGCCACAAAGGGAAATGGCTACCACCTAAAAAGAACCACATCAAGAGAAAGACTGAACATTTCTGATGGATCCTTAATAGCAACCTTCTGCATTTATCCTTTCCAGCTGTTAATCCACTGCTAAATATAAAGATTTGCGTATCCGTTACAAAAGAAGTAATTCAAGAGTCTACTCTACATCTGAAGACTAGGAAAGCTTCTGGTGCCTACTGAATTTCTTTAGAGCTAACTAGATGCAGCGGTATAAAAATGCCAGGCATCCTTCGAAGAAATACGGAAACCAAAAAATCTGCCGGAAGTGCACAGACACTGTGCCAAAACTTAAAGAGAACGAAAGTCGGTTGGTCGAACAACCATACTGCCAACTCTGAGAAAATCGTTCTCCTGAACAAATTTGTAATAGCCAAAGTAGGCAACTGATAGGAGATGGGAATGATATAGTGTGGAGCAGAAAACAGAATCAAACATTATTTACACAAACGTATGGAGCGTTAGATGTGCATCAGACTAAAGGCAAAGGTGTACAGAACGATAGCAAGATCGGTACTTCTGTACGAGCGGGATGCTTCAGCACCACGGAGACATGAACAACAGCTGAACTCCAAATAAATGTAAATGCTGAGACGAGTGTGTAATGTCAACAAAAACGACCCTGTCCAGAAAATCTTCGTTAGAGGCCTTGAGGTGTAACATCAGTTTCAGAAAATCTTATCGAAATCAAGCTCCGCTGGTTCGGTGACATTGAAATCTGACAAATACGTTAGAAACGTGGTCGAAGCTGTGGTACTGCCAGGATAAAAAGAAAAACAAAAATGGTTGCCCGATATTGTACAGAACAATATGAAACTGGTGACCGATGATCGAACAGTGTAGATGCAATTGACTTGAACGGCAAACTCATGTTAAAGGGAACACGCCAGGAAAAAGAAGAAAGAAGTATGCAATGTACATACACTCTGCCTTTGTTCCTGCCTTATTTTAGCCATTGTCTCATAGGGCTCTTTCAAGCAGCATGGCATAATTTAAGCGGCATGGCCAATCCGGCGACGTTCTCAGCGATCTATTTATTCACGGCAGCTGGAATTAGAGCGGCGGTGATCCCTTTCTTTAGAATCGGATGTAATTCAAGGATTGCGCCAATTCCAGAAGCTTCTGAACAGAGAATATTCTCGCGACAAGCATTCGGAATCGTAACCATAGCTATACCATAAACCTGTTGTGTATCGAAAACTGTGCCAAAGAGCGAAGAAACTCAGCAGCTTCACTCATTTGCTGCAGACAAATTCGAGTTGGGAAGCCCCGACATTCAAGAAAGAGAAAATAAGTCTGACGGTGATGAGTCTTCAAAGCTTCAAACCTACTACAGTTGCCCACGACGTGCACTCAGGCGGCTGCTGTAGCGAATTCATTCATAATTACCTGGGTTGCTCCGTGGATAGAGCACTGGACTCAGAACCGAATGGTCCCGGGTTCTAACCCTAAGTCACATGCCATTCATACTTCTGAGGTTGAAGAGTACCATTCTGTGGGAAGGAAGCAGGAGATTATACATTATGCTTGTCACGTAGGTGCTGTTGAATATGTGTTAAAATAAGGCACTTCTGGCCGATGACACGGAAATGGAGATCAGCACCTCATCATTAACCTCATGAAAGGGCGCCAGAAACGGCCTCATTATGAATGTGTAAGGAAAACCAACATTTCAACGTTCGCAAACAACTTTTCTTTCCTTCCATTCATAATGCACTCACAGTAGTGTAATTAAGAAAGGAACAGACAACGTAAAAAAGAATTTTCCGTGGAAAGATCCTGTTCGCGCATCCAGAGAATACGGCGACAGTAAAACCTTCTCTTCAGCATTGAAATGTTTACTCAAAGCAGGTAACTGCAAAAGCCAAGGTAACGGTTGTTGTCCAGAATGCACTTTGGGGCTGTGAAACAGCCAAAATTAAATTAAATCCGACACCAACACTGAAAGCAGAAGTAATCTTCGATACATGGAACAGAAATAAAGAGATATCACTATTGTGAAGCAACGTAAAGAAGCCCCATAGGAATGATGGAAGAAGCTGTGCAAGAAGTAAAATAGATTTATTCTTATAAAAAAAAAACAGCTAAATTGTGAACAGACAACGGCACAATTTAACTTAACGAATGAAAAACGATCATTTCTAACGAATCGCTGGCCTCTGGTCAGTTACAAGTCTTGCTTGGCTTCTGGTCCCACGTCCATTCCCCAGAACTGCGAAATTTTATGGTATACATCTCGTTCTCTCTTGACAAACGCCGAAAATGTCGACACACAATTTCCTATGAAGTGATTCGCTTTCGCCAGTATACATAAGCTTACATGAGGTTCATCAGGATATCGCCTGTAAGCTTTTGCCTAAAAAAGGATCTATATCCGTTTAATAACACTTTAGCATTACTTTCAGCGGAAGTAGTGCCTGATTGAAAGCTTCAATCATGTGGTCTTTGTCCGACGCAACGAACACATACCGAACACCGGTACGCTTCACCGCTTCTTTCAGTTGTCTGACTATAGTTCTTTCCGAGGGCAAGCAAATTTCTTTAGTAAGACTCCCGTGTTCGAAATGATATCCAAGACATTGCGCCGAGGCAAACAAGTGACTCGAAGGATAAATCTTTTGACAAACATTATTCTGAAAAATAGCAGTTAAAAAGCCAATGGCCGATGTCATCAGAGACGCTTGTGGCTCACTGCCTTTGCATGATTCAACATTACTGACCTTGACCTTTGTGGTACAGGGATTCTCTGAAACATTCCGTATTGTCGCATTCACATCTTTCAGATTGTAATACATGGCTCCATCATTAAACGACACAAACAAGATAGAACTGTAGGCCCACTTCCAAAATTAGCTTAACATTAGCATTCTCCACCTCTGACAGAAAGATTTACCCAATAACGCACAGAAGGTACGTAGATGGCATATTTGCCATCAGTGAAAAATGTATGCAAGCACTCTTCCTGGATTACATAAGCACCCTGTATCCAGAAGAAATGGCATTCGCGATGGAACTGGAACAAAACAACTCTATGCCTCTTTTAGACGCACTAATCACGAACAAAGGGAACAACTATGTAAGTACCGTGTTTGACAAGCCAACAGTTAATAATAAGTTCCTGCCGTTCGATTCTAGTCACGTATATTGCGTGAAAAAGGGCATCGCTAGCATTCTAGCCGGCAGATGCTTTCAAGTGAGCTCCAGCAACATTGGTATCCAAAAGGAACTGGCTTTTATCCAGAGAGCTCTCAGAAACAGTGACAAGCTTGTACAGTTAATAAAAGTAGTCAACATCTAACAAAAGGAGTAGCTAGGAAAGAAGTAGAAACGAACAACAAAAATTGCACACTAGCATTACTGTTCCATACGAGCAACATCTAAGTGAAATGCTGCATAGGACCGCCTGAAAACGTGAGACAGACCGGCATTCCGATCTCAAAAAAAAACATTACGGAGCCAGCTGATGCAAGACAAAACCACTGAGTCAAAATACAATCCGCATCCTGTCTTGCGCTTGCGGTCTCAATTATAGAAGAAACCCGCAACACCATGGACGAGAGGAAGAAAGAACACCTGAGTAACAAGATAATGCAACGCCAATCTAAACCACAACGGACAAGCACAGAACTGGAAAGGGCGAAAATAAAGATCCACAGATTATGAAGAAGGAATGCGAAAATTACTCGGTGGCTGTGAAACATTCAGTACGAGAATGACACAGCACATTATGGGACCAAATGAAAGGAACACGTCAAGAGAAAAACCTTTTAGCCGGAAGATTAAGGAAGCCCCAGTAATTGAATCAAAGCAATGCATGAATAAAGATTTTGGTATAGAACTAAATTCGCACTGGAAAGAAGCTACGCAGCAGCTTCTACCCTCTAGGAGAAACGCTCCATATTGATGTTTGCACCTAACTACACTGATGTGCACTGTAATATTCTGTTTCATGTTTCACCCTCAAGACAGATCGAGCATGCTCCTAAATGTTTGAGAGTAAAACTGAATTCCCGCATAAGAGACTTAACATCCGTTCTTAAGTTAATGAGCTAACCACATGATGCTATAAACCTCCTAAAGTTAAAGAAGAATGCTCCAAACAAAGTCTTACCAGAAAAATTAAGAAAAGCTGCAAGGACAGCAAATAAATGAAGCGAGGTGATAAACGAAAATAGTAACGATGAATCAGCAGATTTTGCAGAGATAAAACCGTCCATAAGTTTCTTAAATTCAATTTGAAACTGCTCACCCAATCGCGATCATTCCTGAGGTGAACACCAATGAAACTTTCATTCATAAGTTCGTTAAGTATGAATTCATTTGCTTGTCTTTCGATATAATAAGACCATTTCAGGAATTTCTGTAAGCCAACGTGTTTTTCTTGCACTGGAAATGCCGCCGGTGCACCGGTGAATGCAAGCACTTTGAAGTTGACAGCATCGAATCTAAAAACCCGTCAGTTGTTGAACAACTGCACATCTTTGCTATTAAGCAGCACCTTTCAATCCACTTTTGCACATCTCGCTTTGCTGTGATCAGCACAGAAAGAGGATGGTAAAACACTGACTCAACAAAATCGATATCATGCGTATCCCAAAACGACTCAAACGGATTTCCATGTTTAGCATTGCAACTGTTCTTGATCGGGCCATCATGAGGCGAATGGCAGATTACTACACAATACAGAAAAATTATAAAAAAATAAAAAGTTGTAAATATCACACTACAAAAGTTATGGCTAATACATCACTTACATTAACTTATTTAATTACATTTTGCGAACAGAACATCCCAAGTAAACTATCTGTGTGAAAACTGGGATAATAAAAATAAATCAAGCATATAATAACATTATTAAAACTACCAAAAATGGAAACAAAATAAAGTAAAGTAAACTATCAGTGTGAAAACTGGGATAATAATAAGTCAAGCATATGTCTGATTCTGATGTCCCATATGACATGAGTATAAGTACACACATTATTAAAACTACCAAAAATGGAAATAAAATATGCTCTGATAATGAAAGCAAATTATCGCAATGTTTTGCAGAACAGGTCAGCTCAAAAGTCGACGAATAAAAATAAACAGATACATAGTGTATAATGCAAGTGCTCCATGTACTACAGCTACTGTCTCCGTACAATGAGGTAGAGTGTCATAACTATGCACTGACCAGCACAATCTTAGCACAGCCAGAATTAAGTCGATTCTAGCGGACAGAATGATGGAAGATGCATCTGGCACTGTTGTTGCTCAAATGCCATGAAAATTACCTTCCAGACAGTTAGAAGCAAGGAAGAAGTGCAACACCAAGCAAAATTTTGTCTTGAAGGATTTATACGTTATTCAGGCCGCCACGGAGTAAAAATACGGAACAACAGTTGTAAAATTTGTGACAAATGCATATTGCGGACTTTGAAAGAAAAGAATGCGAAGAAGATCTTCCTGAAGAGGTACAAAAAATCTAGTGGATTCGACAGTTAATGACCTATAAGGAAGCAAAAACGGATCATCCCTTAACAAAGAACACATGGTAACAGAAAGAAAGAATTGGCAACGAAGCAAGAAAAGCTACTCGTTTTATATTCCCATCAAAGTATTTGATTAATTCACGCTTAGCTTCGTAAAAAAATTCTAATTAAACAAAAAACACAAACAAGCAAGAGAAAAGACTTAAAGGCCAAATTCTTTCAACGACAGGCAATATTGTTATAGTTAACAAGACTTTTTACCGTTTCCCTCCTAATCTGCGTATCGACAATGGAGACATTTGCGAATTTAGAACGGACTGCTAATGTAGAATGATATTCTTCTATCAACAATTATGCATGAACCTGGTACCAATGAAGACAGGTTATCAAAATGGGAACAACTATGCCACATCTGATCTACCCAAAAGTTATCTTCGCTGAGATGCACGAGCGGACCTTGCTTTGCATTTAACAGTGGTA